AAATGGATTTCCCCAGTCTTATTGAGAGATACTTGACATACATCACTGTGTATATTTAAGGCATGCACTGTGATGGTTTGATTTACATATATTGTGAAGTAAATCCCCTCATAGATTCAGCCAATATCCACCATCTCACATAGATTAAAACAGTAAAATTTACAAATTAGCTCTCTGTGGCACCACAGTTCAAAGTGTTCACTAGCTCCATATCAGTAGTGAGTACTCCAATGGTAGTGGAAATATAGAACATTCTCACCACCAAAGAAAATTCTATTGGAAAACTATTCTAAAGGTGAGGTTCAAGTTTAGGATGAAGATAGAAGCAAATTGTCAATCTTTTTCTGAGTTCTGGTACCCATGACAACAACAAGAAATATTTGTTAAAAAAAAAAAAAAACATGAGGGGCGCCTGGGTGGCTCAGTCCGTTGAGCGTCCGACTTTGGCTCAGGTCATGATCTCACAGTGGGTGAGTTTGAGCCCCGCATCAAGCTCTGTGCTGACAGCTCAGAGCCTGGGCCTGCTTCCGTTTCTGCGTCTCCCTTGCTCTCTGCCCCTCCCCTCCTCAAGCTCTGTCTCTCACTCTGTCTCAAAAATAAACATTACATTTAAAAAAAAAACATGAAAGGCAGAAATCATCGGTAGTTTGGTATATTTTATGTACAGTGACAATAAATAACCTTTATCAAACACTTACTTTTGCACTTGAATTATATTATTTAATTCACACTCGCTTGTAGCCGATCGTGTGCATTGTTTTCTATGTGCATTGAACAAGAGACTGAGGCACAGAAACATTGAGTCATTTGCCCAGATATCATCCCAAGAAGGTGAGATAACTGGCTTCGGACTCAAGAACTTGGACTCTCAAGCCCTAGCAGGATAATAGAAAAAAATTAAAAGCTTTAGAAGTAAATTTAAATTCTTTTTATTTCAATCTAACTTGCTTGTTGCCAGAAGGGAATGGGGAGTCACTTATGGAGTTGAAACCATTCTTTTGTACGTTAATCATCCAGTTGGTAGGTATTTTGAGGGCCATGAGTACATGTCCTGAGCTAATCCCACCGAGAGAAAAAAATATAAACATTAGACTCTTGATATTAGAAAAATTAATGTGCACCCTGTTGACTACCTGCATTTGATCCCAGTGATTGATAGTCACTTCTCATTTTGCTAACACAAAATATTGAATCTCCCTCCATGAAGGCGGGGATACAGTAGCATGACTCTTGCTAGTGAGTTAAGTGAGCCTAAATTTTGACCCAATCTCAGTTCAATGTGGGGGTTATTCTGCAGTCATCATTCTATATTCAGTAACTTTCAAAAACAGTTCAAAGGTGTTACTTAAAATTTTCATTTACACATTTCTTAATTTATAGAAATAATTTAATGTATAAGGTATACTATGAATTTAATGAATTTTAAAGGCCCTGGAAACGTGTCCTCTGGATAGGTAAAAACTCTAGTACAGTGTTCACTCCTGCCCTACATTGATTACAGTCTAGTTTGAGGAGTCAAGTTTTAACCATTCATCAGTCAGGTTTTGAGGACATAATGAGTAACAACACTGCCAGGAAAAACTTACATAAGTAAATAATTGAAGATGGTCTATAATTTAAATAATGTAGGAGTTGTTTGAAGAGGTGAGCAGTAAAGGGAAAATTAATATGGAAGATATGATGAGCCATGTGGGGAGGTTCCATTTCAAATCTCCAGTTCTTTAGATCAGAAGCACTCCTCTCCATATCTGTGGTCCATTTTCAGCTTTTCAAGTCTACATATCCATGATTACTTATGGCAGTTCTCTGTAATAAAACTCTTCTTCAAGATTTTCTTGGCCAGGAAATAGTTGGATTTTATCCATTCTATTAGTTTTTATTTTGTTTACTGCTATTAAAGTAGAGATCCAGAGCTGGTTTTCCCCTTCTAGGATTTTCATGAAAATCTAGAGAAATTAACAATTAAGAAAATCACAGGGCACACCTAGGTAACTTGGTCAGTTAAGCATCCAACTTCGGCTCAGGTCATGATCTCGTGGTTTGTGAGTTCGAGCCCTGCATCAGGCTCTGTGCTGACAGCTTGGAGCCTGGAGCCTGCTTGGATTCTGTCTTCTCTCTCTGCCCCTATCCTGCTTGTATCCTGTCCCTCTCTGTCTCTCTGTCTCAAAAATGAGTAAACATTAAAAAAAAAAAAAGAGAAAGAAAATCACAGACTGGAAGAGATATAATTGCCAAGGTGTGCAGAACTTTATAAATGCTTTGGTGTAAAATATGTCAAAAATACTTTTAAGTTCAAAGGGATTGAGTGCTGATATTATTAAATCATTTGTTCTGTAATTCAAATGAAATCAGACTTCCGCCCTAGGACTGTTAATTGTAAATGACACAGTAACCCTGGAAAGACCTTTGATTTGGGGGTGGTATTCAACCAGAAAGAATATTAGATCCTACCAGCATGCTACTGTTCTTACTGAATACACAGAGATCCTTATTCCTACTTATGTGTGATGACCTTTATAGGTACTGTGTGTGAAGGCTCAGTTAGCCATTTGGACTAATGAGGATGACTTTTTCAAATTTTACCAAATAAAATATTTCATCTGGATGAAGACTGGAAGTTTCCTAAGTCTTCAGGTGACACAGAAGCACTAGATGTGATAACTCCAGAACAGAAACAAATACCCTATAAATCACTTGAATAACACCTTGTTAGATAGCTGTTTCTATTGAATTCCTTGCACTGGGGATTCCCAAGTTATGGAATATCAATAACGAGCTTTCATTTTATTTGGCCTAAAATAACTTTCATGTCTTCAAATATGAATGAATTTTAAATAAATACTTACACTCAAGTATATGCTATGTAAATGACTTTGTAAGGACACAGGCTTATAAGGGAAAATTGCTATTTTCATTTCTGTGCCCAGTGCTTGTCCTTGTAAGTTCTTAAAGAGGAGGCTGATTGATATCTGAGGGCTTGTTTCTTGTGGGTATTCTCTCAAAATATGTCCCTTGATAGATTAAATGTCAAATCAATCTCTAGCTTCTTGAGTGCCACATGGATATTGTATTCCTTTCCGCTATACAAGTCATGAGCTGTATGTCCTTAATGTGCCCTTAACTGTGTCAAATAGTTTCTAATTTCGAGGTTATACTTCCTATATAAAAACACATTCCTAGGTTGTAAATGGTTTTACACGTTATTTCTTTCCCCACCCAGGGATAGAGGTGCTAAATCTTTATGTGGCTCTGTATTTGAATCTTTTGATGTTCTTTCTTTAAAGATGATCTTTGCCTTAGTCACATCATAAAAAAGCTTTATAGTCACCTCTTAGAGGTTTTTTTCCCCCCCAGCAAATCCTCTTTTATGTTTGGCTGACACAACTTACTGATTTTGGTTATTTAATCTGAAAATATTGATAAAATAGTTAGTCATTTAAAATCCTCCTACTTAGTTTGGAAATATGTAATTAAGTAAATGAAACTATGCATCAATCACCTACCTCAAGAGTAATTACCATTTTATCAATTTAATTATCAAATTATCAATTTGATGCATGTCATTCTTTAATTTTCCCTACACTAGCATTATTTAAATTAGTGTGATATTCATATTTATCATACAACATAATTATATGCAATTTAACCTTATATATAACCATCTGTATCTCTCTATATGTAGTGTATATATATATATATATATATATATATATATATATATATACACACACACACACACATACACATGATCATAAAATGAATACTTTAGGTATGTGGCTATAAAATCTTTGGTCATGAAGAACTCTAGTATGATGTTAGCAGGACTTCACCAATTTACTAAGGCCGCTATCTCATTTTTTGTAGCCATTCTTGCAAATGAACCCAACAATCAACAACATTTGCTTCTATTTATTGGGTCATAGTGAATGGAGGACACAGTTATTTATGAATTGAAATCACAAAGTGAATGTCTCTCCGTGTAGCAAAGCTCTGTGTGGCTGTCACTAACCAAATGCATTGCTCAGTCTTTCCCGTCACATAGAATTGCATTCTGTGACTTCCTGGAGTGCCATGGAAACTGGTTATGTTCTATTAAAGAAAAAAAGCCCACACAGTTCTTTATAACACTTGGTATGGTGCTAGTGGAGATTTCCTGGCTAAAATGTTATGCCAGACTGCTAATAAAAAAAGCCTGTCCAGGTTCATACCCACCCTTTATCTTAAGTATTTTCTTATTCCAGAAGAATGTCAATATGCTTCGGGGTCAGATAGCAGAAATCCAACCAGAATTGTTTTTATATTACAATGTAAAATATTAATAATATAATGTATTGATATGTGTGTATGCACTTAAGAGTGCAGGTTTGTGTTATACATTATCTATCATTATATAGTATATTTGTGTTTCATTTTTTCACGATGGAATACATTTATAAATAATTTGTGGCAAATAATGATAAGAGTACTTGGATAAAAGATAAAAACAAACAAACAAACAAAAAACAGTTAATACAAGAGAAATGGAAGAGGTAATCTGAGCCAGGGAAGGGACTTCTGTGTATTTATGCTAGATAGTAGAAAAGGCAAGGATTTGTTTATATGCACACATTTTTATAATTTCTTTCTTTTTCAATTTTATTTATTTTGAGAGAGAAAGAGTGAGTGGAGGAGAGGGGTAGAGGGAGAGGGAGAGATCTCTGAATGCCAAGAAGGCCCTGCACTGTCAGTGTGGAGCCGAAACATGAGATCATGCTTTAGTTGAAATCAAGAGTAGGATGCTTAACCAACTGAGTCACCCAGGCGCCCTTGTAGTTTCTTAATAACAACTAAGTTTCATGTACATTTCCCTTTCTTTTCTATAGCGCTTCACTAACCTATTTATTGATATGAGGTTATTTGAAAACGTTTTATTTAAAACACAAATGTTTACTTAATGTGCTGTTGTGATGACTTTACCAGACATTCCACCCGAGTGAGATTTTTTTGTTTTTGTTTTTCAGAATCTGCCTTTGAAGAAGATTCCGTGCAAAGCCTCTGCACCCTCAGGCTCCTTTTTTGCCAGAGACAACACAGCAAATTTCTTATCCTGGTGCCGAGATTTAGGGGTCGATGAAACATGTCTATTTGAATCGGAAGGCTTGGGTATGTATTTCTTTCAGAATTTTAGCTGATAAGATTATTACATATCTTTGTCATAACAAAGACTTTGTATAGCTATCAAAACTTGTTTGCGTGGTGTCGCTTCACAGATTGTTAATTGAAAAACTTCATGGTTTGTTGTAAACTTGAAGGTTTGCTGTAAACTTGACTCTTTGAAGGTAGGAAAAAATGCATGCCCTTTTATTGTTGGTCACTTTATGCATGAAAAGATAGGAGTATGAATAATGCCATTCTTTCCAGGCTAAAATGAAGTATATGCCATGCAAAACTGGGGATATTTGGAAAGTGTAGGCTTCAGTTTTACCACCAGACTCAAACCTGGACTAGAATGGCAGCCATATATGCTCCACTCATAAGGGCACTACTGTCTTTCACCTCTACAAAAGGATGAAACAGCATTTCCTATAAGCTCTATCTTTGTTGAAATGGAAGTTTATTTATTTATCTATTCTTAGTGAGTTAAAAATCAGGCAAGCCAGCAGGAGATTGGGATAATTGAAGACGATGATATAAAAGATACTTTAGTGTCCAAACCTACCCAGATAATTGGGGGGTTTTCGACTTGTTTTGCTTTATAATTGAATTTGGGCAAATCCACTTCCACACCAGAGAGCAAGCTTTTGTATTTCCTTGGGAGGAAACATACATTGAATGGTTCAGTGTTTTTAAATTTTTTTTTATGTTTATTTATTTTTGAGAGACAGAGAGACAGAGCAAGAGAGGGGGAGGGGCAGAGAGAGAGAGGGAGACACAGAATCCGAAGCAGGTTCCAGGCTCTGAGCTGCCAGCACAGAGCCTGATGTGGGGCTCAAACTCACAGACCGCGAGATTATGACCTGAGCCAAACTTGGATGCTTGACTGACTGAGCCACCCAGGAGCCCCTGAATGGTTCAATGTTTTCATATCACTTAATAGCTACTGTTAAATGTTCAACCCTCCTGTATCAGCTCTCCCCAGTATAGCTCTCATATGGAAAGTATCGACATTAAAGTCCCATTATAATGAAATAGGACTGAGTGAAGAATGGAGACATCTGTGGGGGAAAGAGGGGAGCTTTGGTTCTTTTGCCTGAGGCTTTAAAAAATCAATTCACAAAATCACATAATACCAAAGCATCAAAGCATCAAAGTAAGCAAAGCATCCTTTAGAGAGAACAGGTATACAAATTGCCTTCCAAACAGTGAGAATACCCCTTTGCCCCCAGGCCTCACAAAACAGCATTTCCCTGCTGAACCTAGGAAAATTGATGGTTCACAGCTCAAGTCGTACTCATTTTATATGCTCATGGAAATCTGTGTTTGTACTAAGAGGAGGGAAGATGATGTGGAAAAGCTCGCCATCAAATTTCTGAGAATTCTCTCAGCAGAGAAGAAAATTATGTGAATTTAGATCAGGAGAACATTTTATACCTGAAAGAAAAAATAAACTAGAAGAATTGTACAATAGCTTACTGTACACAACATGTGCTCCTTGAATAATCATTATACAAATGGGCTTTGACTGCTCTTATTAATTCCTCACATTAAAGTAAACCAAACTTGGTGGAAGACGTGTGCATGTATATAGCTCTACTTCAGTCCGCTGGTAGTTTTACAAATAGATTTTAACTTTAAGGTTTATGGGAAACTATATGAGTGAAGAATTATAGGGAAGGAACGTGGTGGAATTGTTTGCAAAAAAAAAAAAAAAAAACTTTTGAAAGATCAAATGAATGAATGAATGATAAATTTAAAAATTCAGGTCTTAGTCACAAGGAGTATATACTCTTCCTGTGTGGACAAATACCATCACGACTTAAAATTCAGCAGTGCCCTTCAGTTATGAAAGGAACTACCACATGGGGAAACTGCTCTATTATTTGTGAATTGGTTTATTGTGCTGGTTTTCATTTAAGAAACATCTTTTCCAGTGACTACCATAGGCCAAGTGGGGGACGAGGGGCTGCGAATGGGAGGGTGAACTTGTCTTAGTTTTCTCCCTGCCTCTGAGTTCTTTTGTTAATTGAAATAATAAAACTTTCAGTTGGAAGCCAAGAAGCTTGGATGGCTTTTTCAAACCCCATTCAGGTCATAAGTAATACATTTTATCTTGAAGCAATAAAGCCTAAAGCAACTGTATAATAAAGGTCCTGATATATAAATACATACTCCACAGCATATAAAATTATGTCAAGATGAATTTTGCAATGACCTAGTTCTTCACTTTGCTTGAAAAAACAAAACAAAACCCTGACTTTATAAAAAGAAAATCCAAGATAATTTATGCATAATAGCTACTGAGTATTCTATTTAAACATCTTTCATTTTGAATATCTTCTATATTATAACTTAGCTTATGACTTGCAATTAAAATGTATTTTTATATCCAAGGAAGTTTGATGACACCAAGTTTTTGAGTAGTTTCTAATCTCAGCACCGAACTAACTCAGCTCCTTGGGCTTTCTGGTTTGTTTCTCAATGAAAAGACAAATTTGAAATTTCTGTTGGTCAGAATAGGACATGAGGTGAGGTATAATAGATCCTGCGGAGACAGAAGGGAGCCAATATTATAGCATTGACTTTAGGATTATTCGGAGAAAGGAAACAGCTGTGCCCCTAGATGTTAATGATAATCAAGAGAAGGACAATGCGAAATTCCATTTCCCCAAGTGGAAGCCTTTCTTCATAGATTTTTCTTATTATTCACTGTGGGTAAGGAAGTGATTGAGTCACTGCTGATGGCCTTGGACTCCGTATTGCAGAATTGACTTTCTTGCAACAATAACACTGTGTACTCTGCTTGATGTCTTTTCACACTTCACTTTTGAAAGGGAATTTAGGGCAAGGGTTTTTCTTTTTTCCTACCTCAAGATTTCATTTCAGTGGCACACAAGATGAAGTGCATCCTTTGTGTGCTGGTGTTTTGAACAGCAAATAAATGAAAAGATGCCCTGATGAAGGGGAAAAATCTGTTTGAATGAATGATAAAGTAGATCACTGTACTGAGTGTGTATCAAGAGGCTTCTGTCTTTAGCTGTTCAAAGGTCTTTGCCTGCATAAAGCATTCTTATCTTTGTGGCAACTGATATGCTACCCTCTGTTGCAGTGTTTCTTTGTACAGTGATTTGCAAGGGGATCTAGATTCCCAACTCACTCAATCTGTTCCCTTTCCACAACAGCTAATGACAAGAAATCTCAGTGATGGGGAAGGCATGCCAGAGCTGAACTGGGGTGCATGGATAGCGGCTTATTCCATATGCTCCTCTCATGTTTCTTGTCTTTTTGATTCTTGGCAGATAACTTTTTATGCCACAAGATATAATCACATTCAGGGTATAACCTGCAGTTTATCTTCTATGAAATTCTTGATAATTTGTCCTCTGTGAAATGTCAACTCTCAGATCATAAATTCACTCTATCCTAAGTAGTGTTTCAGAAATGAGGCAATAGAAAAATGGCTAAAAGTCATGAACAGCCTCGTCATAGAAGACATAAAAAATCTAATACAGATACAAAACTATTGGAGATCTTAGCAATAAGGTAAATGCAAATAAAAGCTGTGGAAAATTAGCTAAATAGGAGGAAATTATATATTTAGGTTGAATATGTGGAAAATAGGATCTTCTATACATTGCTGAAGAAAAGTGGAAATTGGTATGCTTTTTTAGAGGGCAATTTGGCATTATGGATCAAAGACCTCACAAGTGTTTATGTTCTCTTATCAAATCGTTCTACTTCTAAAAGTTTACCCAAAGGAAACAAATAGAGAGAGGCACCAGAATGTCCACTGAAATGCTTTTTTTTTTTTTTTTTTTTTAAGATTCTGACCTTGGTTTTTATTCCTCTCTGTTTTTCTCTTTAATCAATTTCCTCAACCAACAGATCTTTTTTTTTAACATTAAAAATTTTTTGATAGTTTATTGTCAAGTTGGGAAGTGCTTTTTATAATAGTAAAATAAAGGGAAATGAACTGAATCTATGGCGCTTAGTGATACCTTAAACAAACTAGTCATAGTAGATACCGATCAAAAATATTCCTGAGACTATTTAAGGATATAGAAAACCTATGATCTGCTGTGAAGATGAGACCACACATATCTAGTAAATAACCATTAAAATATATTCAGAGTTTGAAAGGAAGATAAACAGAAATCAGGTTATAAATGATATTATTTTCTTCTTAGTTGTCTATTAACAAATGTTAGACAGTAGACAGGGATGGCACATAATCTGAAGCATGAGCAATTAATTTTATTTATATTAAGATATCATTGGAACCAATTTGTGTAGAGAATTTTTTGTTGGCCTAATATTTTACACACTGAGAATTATAAGGGCTGCTTCACATTGTCGAAGTTAAAGTGACATTTCAAGTGATTAGAGAATTTTACACTGCTCTAAGAACAGAGGATGTGGGTCTTTGGGGGCTCTGTGAGACAGGCTTTAACCTTACAGGTCTACTTATAATGCTCAGCTACAACCCCCACTGTTCAAATCACTCTGACATATAGGTCAGTGACTAGAGGAGATTTGTTTGTTTGTTTTCATATCTCACAATTGGTTTCATTGGATTCTTTAAAAATATTTAGGATTGTGCTTTAGCTTAAAAAGATGAACAGGAATGTTTCCTTGAATTTAATAGTATGTAGTTTATCATTCTAAAGATGAAATACTCCCCCAATAATTTGAAAAGAAATGAACTTTGCTTTTAATGTTGGAGTAAAGGAAAAATGTTTAGATGACTCTAGGTGTGAAAGCATTTCAGTTTTCAGTCTATAAAAGTTAATAGATGTATTCATAATCTCCCTAAGAGTAAATGTAATACTGTTTCAAAGGTTAAATATTTTAACAACCTTTTCTAACACAGTGCTGGATATTTTGATATGGTTCCTTTTTATCATTTTAATTAAGACCAAAAATCTATGATTTACTCTCAGTCTTAAAATATTTAAATTATGAATCCCCAATATTGATGCTCTTATATGAATTTTTCTAAGCTATTT